AAGCTTTCAGAGGACTGTGACAATGATGGAAATGAGTCCAATTGAAAACTGATATATACCAATGGGTCAAACTAAACTTCAGCTATGGCTTGGAATGTGAATTCAAACTTGATCTGAAGCAAGTTTTTCCTGTAAAATGTCTATTTTGGCAGTGAACTGCTATTCATGATGTATATTTGAGCCACATGTATGTTGAAAAATGCAGACTCTGATTCTGCCTTATGATCCTAGGTGTAATCCATAAGTACTTGAAGACATCATAGCAGCTTTTGATCATAGCAGCTTTTGTGTACTTCTCTGGGTTTTTGATGGAAATGCATCCTGCAATCAGATTGTTTTGGTGTGGGTTTCAGTCAATGTACATCCATTTAATGCCTTTGTTTTTAGAAAAGTAACCATCTCAAAAACCTTAATGCAGTCTTATTTAGTCGAAAAGACACAGAAGCTTTATCTTCAGTTAAAGGGTTTGTCTGCATTGGCTTTTATGTTGGTTTTAATGTGACTGACAAAGTCTTTTCCTGATGTCTGGGTAACACTGGCACCTAGTGGTTTCTGCTTGTAATTGTCAAGTTGGAAATTTTCTAACGGAAAAGGATATGCTATCTGGAAAAGAGATCACAAGTGTATAAGCAAGAATATTTCAATGTCTGTATTTTTTTTTTCCCCAGCCCTCATTACCGCAGCATTTCCAGTCATTTGTCACAGCCAGGATAGATTCAAATTCTGCCATTTTCTGTCCTTATCACAACAGGACGTAATTGGCCAGGTGATTGGCTGGTGTAAATTGAAGCAGCTCCATTAAAATCAATCGAGTTACCTTGACTTGCATGAGCTGAACAGCTAGAATAATGATTTTAAATCGTTATGAAAGACTTTATGATTTTAATAGACTAGATGGTCAGCCTTTTCTGAGCTGGGGATTTAAAAGTAGCCATCCAAGTCTGTATGCCATAGAAATAATCAGGCTTGAAAGCTGAGTACTACTAACCAATTCACTATCACATGCAATTATCCTCTTACAGACAAAATTCCCAGTAAAAGCCAGTATGAGTTATACCTTCATGACTGGACTGATAGAAAGAAAAAACTAAAGCTAAGACGAAACAGACAAAATTAAGTGCAAAAGATCTTGTGCCCTAGTGGTGAAATCCTAAGCTGTTGCTTTCACTACAAACGGACATGGTGCTGCATCACCCAAATTGTTGTCGCACTGCCTTTTCAGTTTCATACTATTCATGTTCAGTTATGCATTGCCAAAAAAATTCCCCCTAAACAAACAAACCCTCCCCCACAAGAATCCCTGTCTTCTCCAGCTGATTATATAAATCGTTAACATGTTTCCAAAAAATATATCAAGAGGAGAAAACTTGGGATTGAAAGAACCAGTCTGGAGTGCAAAAAGTCTAAGTATGAAGAGTTAAGCTAGAGATAAAAGATTAAGACAGAGAAAGCTAGGAATCTAAGCTCTCAACTAAGTAGTAATTCTAACTGACACCTTGTATGTATCTTTCATACCCTCAGAATTGCATTAAAACTGTTCAGACTGGCTCCTGTGATGAATGTTTGCAGACAGATGTGCTAATGGAAAGAGCCATAACCTATGCGGTCCTTGCAGACTGTCTTTCACTGAGCTACTCTTCAAGGCAGCAGATCACAGTCCTTGGCCAGTGCCCAGTTACGACTTTCATGATGCAAGAGGTTCAGAGTGCTTTTTTGAGAATGGACAGAAGGGAATAAGGTTTCAAGCAATTCTGTGCATTAGTGTGCTCAGGCTGGCATATTTTAGTGTACATCTACCCAGAAGATATGTAAGTGGCTGTTTCACTTCTCTCCCCTCAGCATTGTGGGGCAACACTATGGTATATTTTTGAAAACAGTTTACCCCAAGAAGGGAAAATGTTTTCCCACTGTAACCTCAGAGCAACTCCTTCTCTCTTTCTGTCCTTCTATGGGCTTGATGATAAATATAGTAGGAGGTTAAACAATACGCGGTCACTGCAAAGCACAGATGGTACTCAAAATAAGAAGAGGTAGGCTGAAATTGCTGAGCCATCGTCAGAGAAAGAAATCAGTGACAGATTCCCCAAAATAGCAGAATTTAACCTTTTAATATAAGTGAGGATAAATCGCAGCTGAAACATCTGTGAAAAAATGGGGAACGTTGCAAATGGTAAATCTAGTATTTAATTTCAAAAAGATAAAATTTTTGTACAACATACGTAACGCAACAGAAGAGTATGGTTTTAAAGTATTGTGTTTATGGGGACTCCATGCTACAATCGCCTGATCAGTTCTGGTCTTCCCAGTTTTGAACAGTTGAGTCATAATGGATAGCAATTGACAGTCTCAGAATTTGGCATTTGTCTGATATGCCCAGAGTCTGACTGAAAGCAGAAGAACTGAGTGTCTGACTAGCTCTGAGGCAAAACCTTTTGGATTTTTAGTTTTGAAGATGTTAAAATAGCATTTCATTGTATTTTTTTTTTTTAGTAAATACCACTAAAAGCTGTAAAGGAAATGAACGGCCCACGCAATATTTTAGCTACCTTTTTTTTAAAAAAAAAAACAAAAAACAAACCCACCATACTTTGCTGTTACGTAACAAATGTCTGACAGTGCTAAGTCCTATTTTCATTTAAAAACTGGAGTGCTGGTGAGTATACAAACATAGCAGAATGTTTGAATCTTACAGAAAAAAACCCCACTAAGATTATTGAAATATCTTTCCACTAATCAAATTTTAATGGAATGGCTTCATAGAGGTGTTTTTTTTTAATAAATTACCAACAGAAATATTTATTTCTTCTATAAAAATAACTACATTCAGAATGCTGTATTTGAATAAGGCTTTTGTTTTACAAAAGTTACGAGTTTTTCCACAGTAAAATATTAGCATTTTTGCTAATATTACAGCAATGTCTTATTAACTGTGAACTCTTCAACAATTGCAGGAGAATTTCTAATTGATCTTCTAAGTATCAGTAACAGAATAGACGAATTTGGCCCCCCTACTGGTTCTTATCTGCCTTTTCCTATGCTGCGGTTACAAGCTGCTCTACATAGCTGCATAGTAAAGCTCTATCAGCATATACACAGCTGCTTGCAGCAAAGGCATTCTACAAATCCCAAAATCAAATAACACATACTGACAAATCACTTTATCTTGCAACTCTGGCAATACCATGAATGGACTTATTTAGTATGACTAGGAAAGTGCATATATAGCTCTGTGTTAGAAATAAATATATTTTGAAATATTACTGTTTCCCATATTCATGGTAGAAGTTAGGAAATGCCATTATATAGATATATCCATATCTTAATTTATATATTGGATAGATGGATGAATAGATGGATAGATAGATAGAGAGAATTAAAGAACTGAAAGAAAAAAAAATGGGCTGAAAGATATAAGGAATTCTAATGAGAAGCATGGTAAGGGTGGGAAAACACCTATCCTGTCAGTTTGCTCTACTTCACAAAGGGGCAGGATCTGAAACTCTGGAAATTTTTGCTTTTTATCCACACATTAGAGATACAACAGTGTTGTTTGTGATACAGGCTTTCACAATCCAACCTACAATGATGGAAAAGTCGTATTTTGGGATGAGACTGTAAGCCTCAGGACATATTGATTGTTATGGACAGTAGCACTGGGTTGAGAGGAAGTGCATATTAACAGACTTGTCTTCATGCTAGCACTGTGCAATTGTAAAACAATTCTGTGTCGTATGTGCCGGTCTCAAAACCAGGCAACGCTTTCCCCTCGAAGATGGGTTGAGCATCTGCATATTTCGTGAAATACTGCCAGCGGACTATTCTCCATGTATTGACGTATTTCAGTAACTGCTCTTCTGCACCGGATTTTAAATAGCATAAGGAAATAATCGGTATTTTAGAGCAAGTTGATTTATTAAAGCAAGTTCCAGATTAACCAGGAACATTCACTAATTACAGAGATGAAAATATACACTAAAAAACGACGTCTGTAGGCCAAATCTACAGCAAGTGCTGTAGATTTAACCAAATCTGACATGAATGTTTCAAGATTTGATGGGAAGTGGGGAAAATATATGTATGTTCTGTATCTGGAGAAGGGGAGAAGCTGACCAATGTCAGGGGTTCAGCTGGTTAGTGCTCTCAAGCATCTTACCCATTTCTACAGGTGCCTTTCACTGTTCCAGGAAAAACCGAACTCGATAGCTGTCTCTGCAAACTGCAGAGACTGAAGATCTCTTCTTCCTCACTCTTCCTGTCATTCTTCTCTATGGCTGCCTTGATCTTCATGATTGCGGCTGCACCTGAGTCACCGCTTTCTGCCTGTACTGAAGGGCTTAATATCTCATGCTCTTCCTCCTCAAAATGTAGAACCACAATTCCCACTCACACAAATCCCCGAGTTACGGTTATAGGCAGTCAGTGCCTATGCACACACCTGCAGAGGGTATCCCCTGCCTCTGAAGATTGAAGGGGTGGGGTGAGCAGTCTGTACAGTCTTGCTAGTAGAGAAAGTGGTAGTTGTAATGCAATTCTGGCTGAGGGATGTCAGGAATCTGTCTTACGCCCACTGTTGTGGGGTACAGATG